AAAAAAAAAAAAAAAAAAGATGACCGGTAAGGGGATCTTAACCCTTGACTTGGTGCCGTCAGCACCACGCCCACCCAGTGAGCTAACCAGCCATCCCTATATAGGATCCGAACCTGTGGCCTTGGTGTTATCAGCACCGCACTCTCCCGAGTGAGCCACGGGCCGGCCCACTCCACGTGTTTAGACTCTGCTGCTTTGCCTCCTTCCAAGTTTTAGCGTCCAGGCAGGCCATTTGATTGGCCAAGTCTTGGTCATGTCCACACCCTACCTGCCCCGGGGGTGACAGAGAAGTCTGACTTGTGACTCCCTAATGGGGGAGGGGTTCCCAAAAGAGAACAGAGTTTGGATCCTGGTCAGGGTCCACTACTCACTCAAGACATTCGGATACTTAAATGGTTTCTTGTTATCTTGAGCAAGGAGCTTCCTGTGGTGACAGAATGTTCCATAACCTGTACTGATCAAAATGGTGGCCCTGAGCCACGTGTAGCCAGCAAGCACTTGAAACATAGCTAGTGAGACAGAGGAGCTGAGCTTCTGTTTTAGTTAATTCATATTTTTGTTTTTTGGGGTTTTTTGGGTTTTGTTTTAGTTAATCTAAATTTAAGTTGCTGCATGTGGCTTATGGTCACAATTTTGGACACTGTGGGTCTGGGGCATACATAGTCACTCTAGCCTGCCTGGCATTCCAGATCCTCCTCAAGCCAGTGGTGTGGCCTCCTGTGACATACATGCCCTGGGTGCTGGGTGCTAGGTGCTGGCTGCGGCCATCCCCACCTCTGCCTTTGCTCCCGTGGCCTCCTTTCCTGACCTTCTCTGCATGTCAGCACCCATTGGACGTGCCCCCATTTTTGAAGCCTTCTCTGATTTTCCCCAAACTGGGGACCAAGGTCTGTCTTCCCTCCTTTTTTTTTTTTTTTTTTCTTTTTGTGACCTATAAGGGGATTGCAACCCTTGGCTTGGCGTCGCCCGCACCACGCTCAGCCAGTGAGTGCACTGGCCATCCCTATACAGGATCTGAACCCGCAGCGGGAGCGCCGCTGCACTCCCAGCATCGCACTCTCCTGAGTGAGCCACAGGGTCGGCCCTGTCCTCCCTCCTTTTGCAGTGGATGAATTGCCTCCGTGAGCGCACTGGGTCCTGTGGCCTTTGGCTCGTTCCACCAGCGTCCCAGCCATGCTGCAGCTGGGCCTGGTGCAGGAGCCTTTCCGTGACTCCACACCCCAGCTAGGTGTTGAGGAACCCCCTGTTCCTGTCACTTTAGCACAGGAACTCTAAAAAGGCTTGTCTGTGCTCACTCTCATGAGCTTTTTCTCACTTCACCGGAAAGGCTCTTGTTAAGGTCACTCGTGACCTCCATGTTGTTCTGCAGGTGACCATTCCTTTTTTCTGTTTTTAATTGTAAGGTACACATAACATAAGTTTTACCATCTTAACCATTTTTACACGTACTGTTCAGTGGCATTAAGTATGTCCACACTGTTGTGCAGCCATCACCCACATCCATCTCCAGAACCCTTCATCTTCCCCAACTGAGACTCTGTCCCATTAACCACTAACTCCCCACTCTCCTCCCCCAACTCCTGGCGGCCACCATTCTACTTCCTGTCTCTGTGGATTTGACTACCCTGGGCACCACATATAAGTGGTGTCATTTGATGTTTGTCCTTCTGTGTCTTATTTCACTCAGCATAATGTCCTCAAGGTTCTTCCATGTGGTAGCATCTGTCAGAACTGCCTTCCTGTTTAAGGCTGAATAACATTCCATTCCTTCCTTGCTAACGTTCTTGTTCTCTGGTCGCTGGAATGACACTGGAGCTCTCCTGCTGCCGCTGCTGCTGCACTGCCTGCCTCTGGCCTGCGCTTCCTCCCTGCGCTCTGGAGGCCCAGGTTCCCAGCTCCAGCCCTGCATGGCCTCCCCTGTCCCCTGTCCTGCTCTGAACACACACTGCCACTTCCCTCCTCCCCTGCCACCCAGGCTCCACCTCTTCTCCCGGGTCAGTGGGAATACCTCCCCATGCCCATCCTGGCCCCCTGCAGTCTGTTTTCTGCACGTTAGCCTGAGTGAGCCTTTTAAAATGAAATTCAGATCTTCTTACGACTCTCATCAGAGCCCACCCAAGCCTCTCCAAGCTCTGGGAAAACAGGGTCTTTTCCAGGTCCATGACATCTGCTTCCCGTTGTCTCTGCCCTGTCTCCTGCTCTGCTACAGTTACTCGCAGACCCTGTCACACCCACCAGGATGGGGCAGGTGCTATTTCCTTAGGCTCTTGTAGGGGGAGCCCTGCTGAGCTGGCTCACCCCGGCTGTTCCCGCCGCCTCCGGTCATTCTCTGCCCTGGGCCCGCTGGGCCACCTTCATGATGCTCCTGACCTCAGTGAAGATGAGCAGTTTTTCACATGTCCCTTCACCCCCAGAAGGGAAGCTCCATGAGGACAGCATAATGTCACCTAAAACCATGCCCAGCATGTAGAAGGTGCTCGGTTCTTGAAACTTCTGTGACATTCTATTTGTGCCACTCCAGTGGTGGTTACCATATCTGGCAGCATTTTGTATCACTCAGGAATATGCATTCTCTTTGTATAGTCTGCCCACAGCCCTGTTGCGGTTCTGTCCAAGGAGTTTTCTGTGCAATACCTGATTCACGTCTTGCCTTCCTTTGTGTGTGGTTCCTCCCCATGGGCAGGCGCCATGTGTGTCTGTCCTCTTATCCTTGTGCATGTACCACAGCCCTGGCACACAATAGGTGCTCAGCAGTTCTGGTTGGGTGGCTGGCCTCTGCTGGATGGAAAGTCCATTGACAACACCCGAGTGGTTCCTGTGCTCAGAGGGGCTGGAGAGGTTTCATGGCATGAGCAAGCACGGGCCAGTGATGGTGTCCTCCCTGCCCCCACAGGCCTCTGGCCAGTCTCCACAGCACCATGAATGCCATCGTTGCTCTCTGTCACTTCTGCGAGCTCCACGGCCCCCGAACTCTCTTCTGCACAGAAGTTCTGCATGCCCCTCTTCCCCAAGGGGCTGGGAATGGAGACAGCCCTGGCCAGGGTGAGCAGGCCGAAGAGGAGGAGGGCGGCATCCAGATGAGCAGTCGGATCCGTGCGCACAGCCCTGCAGAAGGGGCCAGTGCCGAGTCCAGCAGCCCGGGGCCCAAAAAGTCGGACATGTGCGAGGCGAGTATCTTTGAGGTCTTAGGGATGATTTGCTCTCTGCGGGGGGCAGGGTGTGCAGGCAGGGGATGGACAGGAGACCTATGGTCCCCAGAGCAGTGGTGAGGCCTTGTGGGAAAGACAGACCGCTTCTCAGTGGGCCCTGTGGGATGTGCCTGCTTCTCTTAACATCCCTTTAGTTCTGTCCCTTCATCCTAACTTTTAGCTTTTTTAACCCACTGTGTGGGACAGACAGGTGCCATTTCCTTTCATATCCACATACTCCAGCTTGTCCTAGGCTTGGGTGCCCTCATCCCAGCACTCCCAGGTAAGGTTCCTCCTCATGGGGTCCTAGGTGTTCCTCATGATGTTGCTTCGTGAGCTCAGGGGAGTGAAGTTTACGTTCCCCCAGTGGGCTGCTACTTTGCAAGGAGGACCTGGGTCGGGGCCTGAAATCAGGGTGACCTTCTACCACAGTGTGAACGGGAATCCACCCCCATTAGTATGATTCTGCCGAGAAGCAGAGGACAACATACGGAAGGTTTCTATTGCTGGAAACGCTTGTGGGCGATCTGGGGTGGGGGCAGCAGAAAGGGGGAGAAGGGAAGGAGGGCTCGGCCAGGCCGTTGGGCAGTCCTGGAGCTGCAGTTGGGGTTGCCCTTGGAGGAATCCCGTGTGTCTGGGGCAAGGCCTTGCCTCAGTGCCCTCCCGTGCGTAGTCCTTGGGGTGGCACCTGCGGAGTGCACGGCCGCAGCACACGTGGCGGTGGCTCCAGTAGGGCCGCAGCTGGTCTGTCCCACTCCCCACAGTAGATGGTCTGGATGGTGGGTGTCTGCTCGAGCTGCCACACTGTCCTCTCTGTGCTCATTGCTGGACCCTTTTGCCTGTGGCTGAGACCAACAAGTGTTTGTTCAGGACTACAGACAGAGGGCTGGGTGGAGTAGATGACATCCCTCAGGAAACTGTCAGAGCAGGGTGTGTGCCCTTGGGCCAGCTACTTGCCATCTCAGCCTCCGTTTTGTTTTCTGTTAGATGGGGTTCTCGCTGTAATTGTCTCATAGGGTTAGCACCTTGGATCGAATGAGATAAAGTAAGCCGAGCTCTTTTCATAATGCTTACTATGTACGTGTTCAGTAGATAATATCTGTTATTACTAACCCCTTGCAATCTTCGTGGTCTCTGTGTCTTGGTTTTCCTATTTAGGAAACATTTAAATTCTCAGGTAAGTATATATCTGGAAGCCAGTTACTTTTATACAAAAAGAGGTTGAGTTTCCTAAATTTAGGTTTGCACATGAGTAAGACGGTCTGTTGTTGGCTCCGCAGCTAACAGCTTTTGTTTCCTCCTCGCTGGCAGGGTTGCCAGTCACTTGCTGTAGGACATCCAGGCTATATCAGCCATGACAAAGAGACCTCAATTAAATACGTCAGTCACCAGCACCCTAACCACCCCCAGCTGTTCAGCATCGTCCGCCAGGCCTGCGTCCGGAGCCTGAGCTGCGAGGTGAGCACCTGCGACTTCGCAGGCCGGTGTCTGTGGGAAGCTCACATGCTCCGCGGGGCCCTAAGCAAGGTCAGGGTGGGGGTTGGAGGGAAGGACTGACGTTAGTCCCCTCACAGAGAGGACTGGGCAGATGGGCATGGCGTGGAGTATGGGATGCCTCAGTTGTCAGAGCTGAAAGGATAAGGCACATAGGATTCGTTAGTTTTCTATATGGGCACTAGTTTTCACTTTAAGCACCAAACTTTTATCATTTTTCCATTCTTCACTGGCTGCTTCTAAGATGTGAACTATTTCTGGGATGTGTAGTTCACGTATCAAACATCACCTTTCTTTATTGTCTCTGTCTTTACTGTGAGTCCCGAGGGTCCTCACGGGCTGCTTCTAAGATGTGAACTATTTCTGGGATGTGTAGTTCGCGTATCAAACATCACCTTTCTTTATTGTCTCTGTCTTTACTGTGAGTCCCGAGGGTCCTCACGGACTGCTGTCAGAGCCTCTTGGAGAGAAAATCAATTTGTTTCCTAACTACATGGCTGCTGCTGCTGAGCTTGAATCTTAGCTTTTAGGTTTTTGTCTGTCACAAGGAATTCATGATTCTGTTACTAATGCCTGGGTGCCTGGTGTGCATCCGATCAGACACACGGGCTCCTGCACTGTTGGTCCTCACCTCCTGCTGCTGCTGCATGCCTGCCTCCAGCCGCTTCCCTCCTTTCACGTACCTGCTGCTGGTCTGCTAGTAAGCAATGGCCAGGTCTGTTAGAATTGTGTGTTAAGAAAGAGTATGACAGGAGGGAGGAACGGAAGTCTTTTTGTAAGAATGAGGTGTACAGATTTTATGATATGGACTGTGCAGTGGCTGTTTTGGCCACTGGCTCTTCAGTATATTTGGATGAGTACATTGGCACATTTGAGTCTAGGATGGATGTAATAGTTGTACAGGAGTCATCTGTGGCTCAGGGTTGAAAAAAGTGAGGACCTAGTTCACTGGCCTTGCACCATGATAGCAGACATTATCTTTAGGAGGTGCGAGCACAGGGACAGGTGAATACCTCAGGAGCAGGCTTTGGCTTGGTGTCACTGACGGGAGGAGTCACTGTCCCTTCCTCCAGGTCTGCCCTGGCCGGGAAGGCCCCATCTTCTTCGGGGATGAGCAGCATGGTTTTGTGTTCAGCCACACATTCTTCATCAAGGATAGCCTGGCCAGGGGCTTCCAGCGCTGGTACAGCATCATCACCATCATGATGGACCGGATCTACCTCATCAACTCCTGGCCCTTCCTGCTGGGGAAGGTCCGGGGAATCATCGACGAGCTCCAGGGCAAGGCTCTCAAGGTGACGTGGCAGTGAGGTGTGCGGGTGGTAGGGGGCCTGGCAGGGCAGGAGTCGCAGTTGGGAGCCCAGGCAGCCCTGTTCCTCTTGGCCTTGCGGCTGCTGCACTACCTGAACCATAGGGTCTTGGCTGCAGAGTTGGGGCCATGGTAAGGAGCCTCCCAGTCAGTATCACAGTTGCCCTCATCCTGATTCTCGCTCAGCCCTGGTTTCCTTGCTGCAGTCAGATGCCCGGTTTCATCTCTGGTGTCTCTGCTTCCTCTGACCTTTATTTCCGACACTGTCCGTTAATCCTGTGGCGACCCACTCCCTAATGTAGACCTGCAGCTGTAGCAAAGCCTCTTGGGCCAGGCCAGGTTGTGCCTGATAAAGCCAGCCCTCAAACCACAGGCTGGTGCTTGCTGTGTGTGCCTTGCCCAACGGGAGTTTGCTTCTTGTCATTGCGGCAGCAGAGTGGCAGCCGTGGTGCAGCATAGTTGCATGGCCCTGCTGGAAGGCAGAGGGGCCACCTGGTTTCTCTCTTACCTTGATGGCCGGTACTAGTCATGGGTCCCTCACACACCCAGGTCTGGCCAGTTGGGTTGTTAGAGGCTGCCCCTCCCTGTGCATTTCAGGTGTTTGAGTCAGAGCAGTATGGATGCCCGCAGCGTGCCCAGAGGATGAACACGGCCTTTACCCCGTTCCTGCACCAAAGGAATGGCAACGCTGCCCGCTCACTGACGTCCCTGACAAGCGATGACAACTTGTGGGCATGCCTGCACACCTCCTTTGCTTGGTAATGAGTCTCAGGTCTTGTAGCAACTGTGAGAATCAGAGCAGTCACTGCATAGTGGTTGGATTATCCACCAATGTGGGAGGAGACGGTCCCCGGCTGAGTTTGCGCAGCTGCCCCGGGGGGGTGGGTGGGGACCCTGTGTGCACTTAGTGCAGGACTGGCTGGAGTCCTTTTCCTCTGGGTATCTTCCCCTATAGTGTGGAAAACGTGTCTCTGCAGCTCACTTCCTAATGATATTTTAAGTTTCTGTACCAAGACCGATGATCCCCACCCTTTTTTAACAACAACAACAGACATTTATCTCATAGCTTCTGCAGGTTGGAAAGTCAAAAGTGGCTTAGTTGGGTGGTTCTGGCTCAGGGTTTTAGGAGGTTTTTGCTGGCTGGGGAGGGGCCGCTTCCAAAGTAGCTCCCTCATGTGGCTGGCATGGTGCTGGCTGTGGGCAGCAGGCCTCGGCTCCTTGCTGTGTGGACCTGGGAGCTGGTTCCCCCCAGAGTGACTGACCCAAGGGAATAATGAGGTGGGCTCTGAAACCACTCACGGCCCAGGCTTGGTGGTTATGTACAGTGACTTCCAGCACTCACCGTTTGGTAGAAATGTGCCATGTCCCTAAGCCCAGGCCAGGCAGGGGGAGGGATCAGCCTCCATCATGTGAAGGGAGGAGTGTCAGTGACCCTGTGGACATATTTGAAAACCACCAGTCTGACTTCTGCCACAAATTTTCTCTCCTCCTCCATTGCAGAATGTACTCACGCCTTCCAGAGACCCTCCCCCCACTTCCTAATTCTCATTCCTGTGCAGTACCAGCTTCAAGTCTAGGATCTCATTGTCTAAATCCAGTCTTGGATGAGGCTCCTCAGGGGTAGACCCGTGAGTGCAGCTCCTGAGGACCTGTGAACTAAAGAGAAAAAGTATCTGCTCCCCCACCCAACATAGGGCTTCTCCTGAATTTAAAAAAAATTTTAAGTTGATGAGTAAAAAGTATGTTTGTGGTGTACAGCATGGAGTTTTGATATATGTACACATTGTAGAGTGGCTAAACCAAGCTATTTAACATGTATTACCTCACATACTTATCCTTTTTTTTTTTTTTTGTAACAACGTTTAAAATCTACTCTTAGCTTCCTTCCATATTTTAAAAATCATTTTTATTACGGAAATTTTCAAACAGATCCAAAGAAGAATAAATAGTGCAGGGAACCTACCCTCCCTCACCCAGCTTTAGCAGTTATCAGCATTTTGCTGCTTTTTCTTTTGTCCCCTCACTTCTTTTGTTTGGAGTATTTTTTTAAAGCAAATCTTAGTACCATTTCAACCATAAATATAACCACAATACCATTATGTTATCCAACAAAATTGACTAATTCATTAGTATCCTTCAGTGCACAAACCATGTTCAGTTTTCTCTTTTGTTTCCAAAGTGCCTTTTGTGTTGGGATCATGACAACACCTGAAGTCTCTCTAGCCTGTGACAGTTCCTCTGTCCAGGCCACATCCCCCTTATCTCTCCCATGCCCTTTAGTGAAGGACCTTGGTCACTTGTCTTATAGAATTGCCTGCACCCTGGGTCTGACTGATTGTGTCCTGGGGTGGTGGTCAACATGTTCTTTTGTACCCGTGTCTTCTGTAAACTGGTAGTCTGACAGGCTTGAGCAGCTTCAGGTTCAGTTTTTCCTTGGGAAAAATGTGTCATAGCTGGTGCTGTCTTCTCTAGGCTCCTGAAAGCGTGTGGCAGCCGACTGACCGAGAAGCTCCTGGAGGGCGCACCCACCGAGGACACCCTGGTGCAGATGGAAAAGCTGGCCGGTGAGGAGGGGCTGCTGCCGCTGGGCCACCTGCTCTCGGCCGTGCTGGCAGGAGAAGCAGATACAGGGAAGCTTGGCTCTGAATAAGCCCCGGATGAGCCTGCGTAAAGCTTGCCCTTTGATCTTGGTGTGTTTGTTGTGATTTCTCTTTCATTTTTCTTGACAGTCACATGAAAGATTCTATTTCCCAGGTACATTGGGAAAATCCACGATTAGGGCTATCTGTAGAGAGAACTGACTGAAGGTTTTCTTGTCCATATTTTATGATGATAGGCAAGTGCTTGGCCTTGTAGACAGTCTCTTATTCATTGCTTTATAACAAACTTCTGTTTCAGTTAGACCAAAGTTTTCCATCAAGGCAGTGGTTCCCCAGCCTCCCAGGTGTCTGGGCTCTCCCCGCATCTGGGGCTCAGGGTCTTGTGCATTCACCTAACTTCCCAGGAGATCCTGGTGCATTGTGCAGCAGTCAGGACCTCTGATCTAGATCTTGGCTGAGCCTTCTGTCAGGGCTGATGTGACTTTTGGTGCTCTAGGTCCACAGTTCTGGCTGTGTGGCAGGTAAACGCACTTGTGATGCGTGTTGTGTGCAGTTTGTTACTAGTAATGCTTCCTTTGCTTCAGTTTGCAAGTGGTTGACTCCTAAATTGTTGGAGCTGTTTCAAGGCTATCCCTATAGACAAGTACTTGGCTTGCATACACTTGGTTTAGACAGGCTTTCCTGTGTGGGGAAATATAGGAGTGGGGTTTCAGTAAGGGCAGAGCATGCTCGGAAGAGAGAAGTTTGCAATCCACTTTCATATCCTCCCAGATCAGTTGGCCCCATTTGTTATGGTGCTAATTACAAATTTCTAGGCTAGTGCGGGTGGTGAGGGCAGTTTCCCTGACATCTGTTGCACAGAGAGCCAGGTCTGTCAAAGCTTGTGGCAGCTAGATGTGCAGGTACACAGGGCTCTGGGCTTGCTTTGGACTGTGTCGTGGTCATGAATCTGGGTGTAGGAGTGCGCACAGACACACACTTTAGAGCTAGACAGAGCTGGCCTCAAGCAGTGCCTCTGCTACTCACATGCACCCCTCCCTTTTGGTCTCGCGAAATGAAATGTAGATGGGATCCTTTGTGAGGGCCACGACGAAGCCTAATTGAAATCACAGGTATTTACTTCTTGCACTTTAGAGCTAGACAGAGCTGGCCTCAAGCAGTGCCTCTGCTACTCACATGCACCCCTCCCTTTTGGTCTCGCGACATGAAATGGAGATGGGATCCTTTGTGAGGGCCACGACGAAGCCTAATTGAAATCACAGGTATTTACTTCTTTATCTGTGAGGTGAGGATAATAGTGCTGACCTCAGGACAGTGGAGAGGAAAAAGTGAGATGATGCATGGAGTCCCGAGGAAAGTGCCCGACAGGATGTGCTCAGTACGCACGCGCTGTTGGCATTTTCAGGGTTGGCTTGAGTTTTCCCACAACAGTGAACAGCTTGGGGTCTTTCAGTGAGTGCTTCTGAATGTAGTATGACGTTCCGGGCTAAGGAAACAGTGACTGAGCCCTCTCTGCCCACCCCATGCTGCCCAGGACAAGGAGCAGGCAGCTGGCCACGGCCAGGGGTCAGTAACCAGCTGGCTGGTGTGGTCACCTAACGAGACTGTTGCATCTAAAGGGCAGCATGGGGCCGGCCCGTGGCTCACTCGGGAGAGTGTGGTGCTGATAACACCAAGGCCCCGGGTTCGGATCCCACATAGGGATGGCCGGTTTGCTCACTGGCTGAGCGTGGTGCTGACAACACCAAGTCAAGGGTTAAGATCCCCTTACCGGTCATCTTTAAAAAAAAAAAATCCAAAATTCTATGACACTCATGATAAATCATCTGCAATATAGACATGATAAATATAAAATGTTTAAAGAAAAAGAAAAAAATGAAGTATCCCCTAATCAAACTTCAAAAGAACAGAGTTTATAGGAATGCATTAAGAAAATTCCTTATAGTTTTGAATCCATAAAACTAAAAGTTTAAACAAAAAGTCTACTAAAAGGCTGCTGAGAACTGCTAAGCATTTTGCAGGAATTAAAGACAAAACGTTTTTGAGATTTGTCCAAACTATAAATCTTAGGTACCAAGTTCCTTCTAAATAACATGTTAGTGGGAAGTGGTTTCCGAATTCTATCCTGCTAAGCACAAGAGTGGTGATGTTGCTGAGTAGGCCGGCTACACAGGAGCCCCCAGTAACGCGCGTGCATGCACCATGTGCTAACCACAGCAGCAGCACTCAGGACGGCAAACTTAGAAGAGGAATCAGAAAGCTGGGACAACTCTGAGGCCGAGGAGGAAGAGAAAGCCGCTGTGCTGCCGGAGGGCACAGAAGGGCGGGAGCTGACCAAGTGCCCTACAGATTCATCCTTACTCTCAGATTGTGGAAACTGGCAGCCCCGAAAGCTGTCGGTCTTCAAGTCCCTTCGGCACATGAGACAGGTAGGCGGCAGAGGGTAGAGCCCCAGTCAGAAACTCGGGAGAAGAGCCCAGTCTTCTCTGTTCAACACACTTTGTCCTTTGGGCCCATCATCTTCCAAACCTGGAAGGGAGCCTCTTTGTGGGGCTGAAGGCACGGTGGGCATCAGGGGTGTATTAGCCACAGGATCAGTGTCCCCCTTTTAGTGACAATGCCAGTGTCTTGCTTCAAAGAAAGCCCTGATGGTTGGCTCCCATGGTCCTCAAATATTGTCATTCTAGAACCTTCTCCAGGGATTGAACAGCACTATTACCAGTTTGCATGCAGCCTAGACTCATTGCAGATTGAAAGTGATGGTTGTTCTTACAAAAAATTGGAATAAACCTGAATGTCCAGCCATGGTAGTTATAGCATGTCCAAACAATGGAATATCATTAAGTACAAGAAATAAAGCATACAATATGTATAGAGTGATGTGTATGTAAGACTACCAAATACAAAACAAAATCTAACACACAGCAACATTGACCTTGGTGTACAGATGGGAAAAGGGGACTGCTTAATTATGATGGCAGGTTGTCCCCTTTTTATTGTATTTTTCTGTATTTATTTTTACAATGAGCATTAATTTTATCAGAAGGTAGTTATTTCTATTTTGGAAAATGGAGTAAGACTGGTTTGGTGGCAGATCCCCATGGACACTCATTCCATCAAAATCATGTATTTGGCTGAAATCATCCTTGTGGATTGCTTCCATGGATTAGGGGTAGAGGGAATCTTGAATTCCACTGGAGGTGGGAACACTTTGAGGCTTTGGAGTTTAGTAAAATGTGATTGTAGCCTCTCTTTTTTTGTTGTTTTTTTGTTTTGTTTTCAAAGCTATGTTCAGCTTCTTAGAAGCTATAAGACAACAGGCTGGACTCTTCTAAAATGTCAGTGTCATGGAAGTTAATAGAAGGTGGAGTTTGGAGATGGGCCATTGTAGATTAAAGAATAAAGACATTATATCTAAAAGCCATCATGATCCTTTAATGGCTCCTGCATCAAAAGAACAGCAGCTATAAAGGATGTCGTTTGGAGGCATGAGCTCTTGCACGTAATGGGTATTGGCTACGTTGTATCAGTGTGGCGTGCCTGGGTGTAGTCGTGGTCCGGGTTGTTCTTTCTGTGTGCTGAAGTGTCATGGTGCCTGCAGCTTACTTTCAAATGATTCAGCAAAATTAAGTGTCTATAGAGAGAAGGTGAATGTTGCAAAAAGTGAACACTTTTCCTTCAAATATTTAAAAATAAAATTGAGAAAAAGATCTGAAGGGTGCAAGAGCTTTGGAATCCAGTTTTTGTGGGCAAAACCGGGACTTCCAACTGTCCCCTTTGGACCTTGGGCAGGCCACCTACCCTCCCTGAGAAGATAAGTGACTTTCTCTCTCCTCATCACATCTTCCTCTGATATAGAGTAAGTTTCTAAACACACAAAATAATTTCATTGGAGGGAAGAGAAAAAGTGTTTCTGTTAACCATGCAGAAAGCACCGCATGCTATTTTCCAGGTTCTGGGTGCCCCATCTTTTCGCATGTTGGCCTGGCATGTTCTCATGGGGAACCAGGTGATCTGGAAGAGCAGAGATGTGGACCTTGTACAGTCAGCCTTTGAAGTTCTTCGGGTAAGAACATCTTTTTCTTGCGTGTTCTGTGGCTGAACAGTATGGGCCTAGTGCCTGACTTCAGGTGAGGACATGTCGACTGCTCAGTGCACACCTCGCAGACGGTCCCTAACTGAACTTAAGACTTGTGCTTTTTTTCCACGATTAAAAATGGCAGTCATGGATATTTTTTATTTCCATTGGCAGGAGTCTGTGCTGTCCTGATAGGCTGATATAACTACCCTCCTAGCCCTCTGCAATCCCCGAGTCCCTCAAAGAAGCTGTGGGAGCTGGCGCAGGCATCCTCTGCACTCACATCTTCCATGACTGGGGTGGGCATACACATGCAGCACCTGTCTCCATCCGGAGGCCCAGTGGGGCGCCCAGGCCCGGGCTGGTTCTGGTGACATTTAAATCGTCAGGAAGCATGTGCATGTCTGCCGACCGTCTAGGCCTTCAAGGGGACAAAAGTGAATATGACACAGTCTCACAAACAGCTTTTCATCTCTGTGGGACTGGGGGAGAGACACATCTGAGAAGGCAAAGCCTGATGTCAGAGTTAACACACAGAGCAAGAGGCAGCACACGTGGGTGTGTGACGGATGGCCTCGTGGTGGGAGACACCCTCTTGGGACTGAGCTGCCTGAGAAGGCAAAGCCTGATGTCAGAGTTAACACACAGAGCAAGAGGCGGCACACGTGGGTGTGTGACGGATGGCCTCGTGGTGGGAGACACCCTCTTGGGACTGAGCTGCAGGGGCGTGTGGGGTTGGTATGTAGGCAGGCCAGGACTGAGGATGTCCTTGCTGCTGTGGGCTGAGTGGCTCTGTCCTCTGCAGACCATGCTGCCTGTGGGCTGTGCCCGTGTCATCCCATACAGCAGCCAGTATGAGGAGGCCTATCGCTGCAACTTCCTGGGGCTCAGCCCGCACGTGCAGATCCCCCACCACGTGCTGTGCTCAGGTGCGTGCCCTTCTTTCCTGCTGTGGGGAGTCCTCACACATCAGGGCCCTGAGGTGGAGCTGGATCTCAGTCATGGATTTGGGGATGCTGCCTGCTGTCCTCAGAGGCAGGGGAACCCACAACTTAGGGCCAGTTTTCCCAGTGGCTTTGCGTAAGGGGTGGACTGGACAACCTGATAGTGAGGGTGGCTTGCAGGGCCTGTGGTTCTCAGTAGGCCAAGGGTCACGGTCCCGGGGGTGGGAGAGTGTATGTCCACCGAGAACACCACGCCTGGATGGCTGGGGGACTGTTGTACTCCTGGCAAGTCAGTTCCCCCGAAGTTCAGGAGACTTGCTGGTCTGTGACAGCGTGCCTGCCGCGTTCTGTGAGTCTCGCCCACTTCCTTTCCTCCTGTCCCTTCCTCACCCTCTCTGGTTTTTCTTTTCCTTTCACATGCCTGAGTCTCTGACAGTCATTAGTGCTGCCCTTTGCCCTGATGCGCTCTGCCTGTGACAGAACCAGGAAGGTAGTTGACACCCCCGTCTTTTATTTGGGGGTGTCTAGGAGTCAGCTGGGTTCAAAGCCCGCCCTCCCCAGGCAAGTAGTGGCTTCTCTGAGGACATCTGTGAGAGGTGGTCACTGCACTGGTGGGCTCACTGGCACACGTCCAGCCCAGAGCCAGCAGCAGCCTTGAGCAGACTCTGTACAGCACGTGGGCTGGGTCCTGAGTCCTGAGAGGCAGTGCCCTTTCTCTGGGCAGCTTTAGGAACACTGGCTCTGGTTTCGGAGATGGGCTTGAAGTCCTTATCACTTCTCTGAGCCTCGTCTGTTTTCCCATGCATAAAATCGGGGTAATAGTGGGACCATCTTTATAGAGTTGCTTAGTATGAAGTAAATTGATGTATATAAAGTAACTTATGATTATTGGCACATAGTAAATTATTATTACTCTAACTGAGGCAAAAGTTAACCCTTAATTGTAGTCACAAATAAACTGCAAAACGTTTTAAATATCAAAGCATTAACCTCAGAAGACCTCTCTGGGCAGTGTTTTCCTCTTTGATCTGAAATAATTTGGAGTGGTGGAATGAGGGGGGCTTGCCAAGGGGGTGAAATGAGGGGAGGAGCCCTTCTCCAGACAGTGGCTTTTGTATTGCCAGAATTCGCTGTCATCGTGGAGGTCCACGCAGCCACTCGCTCCGCACTCCACTCAGTCAGGTGTGAGGACGACCAGTCTCTCAGCAAGTATGAGTTTGTGGTGACCAGCGGGAGCCCTGTGGCTGCAGACCGAGGTGGGTGTTGCTGGGCAGGTTGAGGGTTCCTGAGAGCCAGCAGGGAGGGGAGAGCCCACCCTCCACCCCTGTATGCCCTGCCCAGTGCTCATACCCCTACCCTGTGGTCATGCCCCTGCCCTTGCTGTGTGCTGGTGCCCCTCCCCCTGTGCCCTTGCCCCACACTCCTGCAGTGTGCTGATGCCCCCCTGCCGCCTGCCCCGTCCCGTGCCCCCGCTGTGTGCTGATGCCCTCGCCCTCATGGCCCCCTGGCCTTGCCTCCGCCCTTGTTCCCAGTTGGCCCCACCATCCTGAATAAGATCGAGGCGGCGCTGACCAACCAGAATCTGTCCGTGGATGTGGTGGACCAGTGCCTGGTGTGCCTCAAGGAGGAGTGGATGAAGTAAGCCCACGGCCCTGCTGCCCACTGCGGCGTGGCTGCATCGGGAGGCCTTAGCATAGAGGGCAGCGCGGGCCACCTGCTGTCTCTGCCTTGCGCGGTGACCTTTGAGAGGGGACTGGTGTCTCCTGGCCCAAGCTCCCGCTCTGCAGGTGGGGTGAGGAGGACACAAAGCACCCAGAAATCTGAAGTCACACCAATTGTGTTCTTTTTTTTTTAAGAGCAAGTTATTTTATTTCCTTCTGCCTTAATTCTTAATAAATTTTTCATCAAATTCAATTAGTCAGACATTGTTCTGATTTCATATAACACAAAGAGGCTTAGGAGCAGCCAGGTTCTTCCACGACTTTAAGGAATTTAAGGACAGTCTCCTTCCTTTCTTCTCTCCTATCCCCCGGGCCTTGGGTGTCCCGCGGGGTGCATGTGAGCCGGGCCTGCCTGCGCTGGTCTGGAAGCCACCGAGCCCCAGGCCCAGAACTCTGGCGGCTGTGCTGTGCCACCTGAGTGTTCTCTTTTCTGTTTTCTACAGCAAAGTGAAGGTCCTTTTCAAGTTCACCAAGGTGGACAGTCGGCCCAAGGAGGACACACAGAAGCTCCTGAGCATCCTGGGCGCGTCCGAGGAGGACAACGTGAAGCTGCTCAAGTTCTGGATGACCGGCCTGAGCAAGACCTACAAGTCGCACCTCATGTCCACGGTGCGCAGCCCCACGGCCTCGGAGGCTCGGAACTGATCCACCAGGGCAGTCTGTCTGCAGAGCACCTCTGGAGAATGGTGGTGGCAGCTCCACGAGAGGAAGGACTGACCTGCCGTGCGGACCTTGTCCACCACGTGTGGCCATCACAGCCGGCAGCTCCCCTCCCATGCAGTCATCCGCGCCTGCGCACCCCGCCTGGGGCAGTGGGGCCAGGCCCCTCCAGGATCCAGATCCCAACCTCAGGAGAACCATGCGGGCCAGCTGCGTGTGGGGACTCTAGCGGCGGCATCCGGGCATGTTCCCCTGTGGTTGCATGTAAGTTAACCTGTAGCTTAACGATGGAGCCCCTGGTTTGTTTTACACAAAGGTGATGCTTGCTAAAGTGTCACATGGAGCCATCTTAGGTGCTCAACCCTCTGTAAATGGTGGCGCCCACCTAGTTTTATTCTGTATCACTTTGGCCTTTGTTGTCGTTTCCAGCATTTACATTTGCTGCACTTAACAGTTTTCTGAGTGTGGTGATTTAAGATAGTTTCATCATCCCACCAGACATTTTTAACACAGCTTCATGGCTTGGAGGAATTTTCTGGCTGTTTTGCTAATTTCTTTATAGTTTTTCTTGTTTAATTTATATTTAACATGACAACTAAGTTTATATAACTAAGTATCTGTATAATGCAAGAACTTTGAGACACAATAAAGATGTATTTTTGTAAACTATTGACTACATGGTTTTATTGGTTTAATACCTGCTGTTTACTTGTGTCTGCCTATAGGAAATTGAGCTCACTTTCTTTCAGAAATACTGTGGTTTAAATAACACCAGTGCATGGCCATTTCTGTGGGTTGTGAAGTTCAAGCTGCTTTAGTGGTCTTGGAGAGTCTTCTCAAAGTTGGTCTTTGGAGTTGATGGTGGAGAGAAGGTAACACTCATTTATTCCAAAGACATCTGTTGAGTGTCTATGACTATGTATTTAGCATTTAACATTAGGAAATGGCTCAACCCTTAAAGATAATTAAAGATATATCCGTCCGTGAGGAGGATGGCTGGAGGAATACCTGGGTGACAGTGACGGTTCTTAGAACTGCAAGTTCTATGTTTTGTTCATCTAATCAGAGTAGGAGGGGATTCCTGGCCTGTTTGTGTCAAGGACAAATGAAGGGAAGAGATGACTGCCCACTTTGTCCTCATCTGTTTTTCTAGAGCATGGCATTCCCTGGGAACTCTGTTCTTGTGTTCAGACACGGTTTTTGCCAGTCGTCTGCCAGTCCAGTGGCTCAATCTCCTTGGTAAGTGGAGCCCGACAGAACTTAGCTCTGCATTCAATTTATGGGAGTGTGTGATCAGAATTTCCAGTGTATAATAAAACTGGCAAGAATGGGCAGGCAAGATTATACACTGACTGGTTTTTCCAGACATCTGTGGGCTTTTTTCCCCCAGAAGATGGTACAGTCCGTAAAGATTGATTCCTACTGGTTGTGAAAGTGGAGAGTAGGAGACTGAGGTGAATTTGTCCTGACCCCGAGACCCAGGCAGGCTTGGTGATTTTGTAGTTTTTCATGCTGAGTGGGAGAGACAGAAAAAAAGTTGCTGGTCTTGAGCTTTCACAGTCAGGGGTTTCCTGTTATGTTCAAGATGCTCACACTCCACTCCCTACTCAAGGGAGATGGGTCATAGAGATTCCAAAGGCAGGCAACCTGAGCATCTGTTCAGATTATTGGGCAACTACCCAAGCAACTTTCCTAAATACGTCTTTTATGCACTCCACTCCCTACTCAAGGGAGATGGGTCATAGAGATTCCAAAGGCAGGCAATCTGAGCATCTGTTCAGATTATTGGGCAACTACCCAAGCAACTTTCCTAAATACGTCTTTTATTTATTTATTTATTTTTTTGTCTTTTTTCCGTGTCCGGCAACAGATCGCAACCCTCAGTGTCGCCCCCGTACCGGACCGGGACCGGCAACGGGATCGCAACCCTCGGTGTTGCCCCCGCGCCTCGCTCAGCCAGTGAGCGGGAACCGGTCTGTATGTGGGATCCGAACCCTCGGCGGGAGCGCAGCCGCACTTCCCAAGCGGCGCACTAGCGCAGTGCGCCACCGGCCCCCTAAATACGTCTTTTAGTAATTCTTGAGATTCTATACCAAGGAGTAAATTCAATTAGATATGGTGGCATTTAACATCTTTTTAATACTTTCCAAACTTTGTCTTAACTTTTTGTTTTGAATTATAGACTTGCAGAAAAATTACAAAGAGAATTCCCATATGCTCTTCACTTTGCTTCCTGCTCATGTTAACACTGTACATAACTGTAGCACAATTACCAAACCAGTAGGTTAATGTTGGTCCTCTACTAGTAAATACAGACATTTGAGATGCACTGCTTTTCCTCCTAATGTCCCAGGATGCCACATTGCACCAAGCTGTCATGTTTCCTTGGTCTCCAGTCTGACACATCCTCAGACTTTCCTGGTCTTTTATGGCTTGACACTTTTGAAGTGCAGTGGTTAGGTATTTTGTAGAATGTCCCACAGTTTGACTGTGTCTGATGTTTTCCCCTCAGAAGAATGAGATTATGCACTTTGGGCAGGAATACCACTGAAACGTGCCCTTCTCCATGTACCACATCAGAGGGTGTGTGATGTGGCTAGATCTTATGATGATGTTAACCTTGATCACTTGGTTAAGGGCACAGTGTCTGCTGGGTTTCTCCATTATGAAGTTACTATTTCCCCTTTGCTAATTAATATCTTATGGGATGATACTTTGAGACTGTGCCAATATCTTGTTCCTCCTCACATTTTTGCTTACTAATTTTAGTATCCCTCAATGGATTTTTTTTTTTTTCTTTTTTTTTTGGCAGCTGGCTGGTACAGGGATCTGAATCCTTGACCTCGGTGTTATAACACTGACTGCTGTAACCAATGTCAATGAATTTTGACTCAACAGCCCACCAAGCTTTGCAACAAGAAAGATGTGCCTTAGTTGAGGTTGGGTTGAAGAAAACAGGATGGCTCATCAGGGAGAAGTGGTGAACTGGGAATATTTCCCAGCATTTTCTTCTTTGCAGCAGGAGTTTGCTACACTGGATGAAGGTTCTTGCCTGGACTATTCACGTGATCACCTTTGCTACCCATACGGGAGAGGTTTAAATCCTATTTGAGTAGGCAGAAATGAGTAGGTGTAGGGGAAATGGATTTTGTGCTTTGGAAAATATCCAAGTTCACATCCTTCCCTTCCTAGCTGTGTGACCAGGGGCAAGTGACTTAACCTCTCTGAGATTTAGTTTACTCACCGGTAAGATGTATTTTGCAGGGTTATTGTGAAAATTCAGGATGATAATGTTTGTGGAAGTATGTTAATATTTGCACCCTCCCCCCCCCAATCAAGCACCTAAATATGGCCAGTTGGGGGAGAAAAGGAAATAAATGACATTTATTAGCTCTAAGATTGCCTTGAAGTGGAGCAGGCTGTGCCAGGAATTTCATTCAGATAAATCATTACCTGTCAGAAACATAGCACTTTTCTGCAGGAAGTGTAACTCGTGTGCTTGGCACACATGAGAACTTTTAAACAAGTTCATTGAAAGCAGGGTTATTGGAGTATACCTGGCCACAGGCAGTTTTTTAGCCTGGCAAGTTTGGAGGTGACCTGCTAAAATTAATTCAATTGAGTATTTTTATGTCAGTTGGGTCAATTTTCTCTTGTTCAAGTCTTTTCTATCCTTGCTGATTTTCTATCTCGTAGCAACTAATGAGAATAGGGTTGAAATCTCTAACTGTAATCGTTGGATTGTCTATTTCTCCTTTCAATTCAGTCATTTTGCTGCGTGTGTTTTGGGGCTCTTTTGTTAGTATATTGTGGTTATAACTAATTTATCTTCCGAATTGACCCTTTTATCATTATGAACTGCTCCTTTTTGCCTCTAGTAATATTCCATGTCCTAAAGTCTAATTTGTCTGATAATCAGTGCGGCCAGTTCACCTCTCTTACGGTTGCTGTTTGCAGGGTATGTCTTTCTCCATTCTCTTCCTTTCAATCTATTTTTGTCTTTTTTTTTTTGGTGGCTCGCCAGTACTGTGATGCAAACCCATGACCTTGGTGTTATAAGGCTGCTATTTTTGTCTTTGAATCTACAGTGTCTCTTGTAAACAGCATATATTTGATCTTCCCTTTTTATCCTGAACAGCTTCTGCTTTTTGATTGAGTTCTTAGTCTGTGTTTAATGTTAATTACTGATATGGTTGAATTTACACCTGCAGTTTGCTATTTTCTATATGTCTCATGTCTTTTAAAAAATTTTTTACTGTGGTAACATATATAACATAAAATTTGCCATTTTAACTTTTTTTTTTTTTTTTCCTTTTTGTCTTTTTTCGTGACCGGTAACGGAATCACAACCCTCGGTGTCGCACCCGTACCACGCTCAACCAGTGAGCGGACCGGTCTCTATATGGGATCCGAGCCCTCGGCGGGAGCGCTGCCGCGCTCCCAAGCGCCGCACTCTACCGAGTGCGCCACCAGGCCGGCCCCCATTTTAACTATTTTAAGTGTATGTTTTGTTGGCATTGATAACATTCGTAATGCAACTCTTTTTTGTTGTTCCTTTGTTTATTTTTATGGCTTTTTTGTTGTTGAACAAATACTTTTTAGTGCATCATTTTAATTTCTGATTTTTTAAAGCTGTTTTTAAAAAGTGTTTTTTGGAAGTTGCTCCAGGGATGTACGTTTAATATATCTGAAAGAAATATTAAGCCAAATGCCAGGTACTGTTCAAGCTTTTTTATTTTTATTTATTTATTTATTTATTTATTTTGTCCTTTTTGAGACCGGCCGCACTGCGCTCAGCCACTGAGCGCTGTGAGCGCACCAGTCATCCCTATATAGGATCCGAACCCACGGCGGGAGGCGCTCCCAGCACCGCACTCTCCCGAGTGCGCCATGGGCTTGGCCCTCAAGCTTTTTTTATTTTATTTTTTCTTAAAAGATGACCTGTAAGGGGATCTTAACCCTTGACTTGGTGTTGTCAGCACCACGCTCAGCCAGTGAGCAAACCGGCCATCCCTATATGGGATCCGAACCCGGGGCCTTGGTGTTATCAGCACCGCACTCTACCGAGTGAGCCACGGGCCGGCCCCGGCCCTCAAGCTTTTTTAAAGAAAGAAATCTACTGGGCTGTGCTCGAAGTAGCAGGGCCCAGGGCTGCCCTGAAAAGGAGACAGCACCAGGTGTGGGGGTGGGAGAGCTTGTATAGTGCGCCAGGGGCTGGCTGATACCATCAAGGAGGGGCATTATGCTCATATGGATCGGGGTGGAGAATTGCATCCTTGCTGAAGCAAAAGGGGTTTCTGTTTAAGTCAGGAGGCTTCTCACAAAGGGGAGGGGACAGGGGAGGGGAGGAGGTGGGCGGCACCATTTTGTCCTTGGGCTTGTCTAAAGTGGCGCTGGTTATGTTGCGGATCTATTAGTGTCATCATCTGCTTCAGGTTAATGCTGACTTAATTCTGGAAAACCCAGCAATTTCACTGGAGTACAGCTCCACTTCCTCCTCCCTGCTTTCTGCTTTTGTTATGTATATTACATCTATATGTGTTAATCCAACAATACAGTGTTATAGTTATTTAAATTATTTTATGTATTTTAAAGAAATTAAGAGAAGAAAAGATAACACACATTGAAAAATATCCACATACGGTTTCTGGTCCTGTCGTTTCCTCCTG